ATCTTTAATTAAAAAAAAAAAAAAAAAAACAACCTGTGCTGGTATTCACAACATGAATTATGAACAAACACATTAAGAAATCAAAATCAATGCAAGCACTTCATATTCTTTTGGTTTCTGTACATGCTCAACTCATTACTTCTAAGCATTTTAGCCCTCAGGTTACATCAATTTTTACAACACCATTCCCTGAAGGTTTTATGAAGAACACCCAAGAGCTCCATGGGCTTCAATAGGCCAGGTCACTTTTAGCCTGGGTACCACCACAGCAGCTTCATCACCGGTCTCTTCCTGAATTCGAAGCACTTCCGTTTTCCCTTCCTCTTTCCTTAATTCCACTCCTTTCCTCCTCTTCTGCCTATGGTATTTATAGAAAATGCTTAAACACACCCCACCACCTGTCCAATACAAAAGGCTAAAAAGGCTGCTGACTTTCATCTGAGAAGGTCTCCTAAAGAGGTATCAAATATCTGGTCTCCTAAGCAAACAGAACTTTCTAAAAATGGTGTGTATCAGCATGGTATTTCACAGATTCAGACTGCCTGGGTTTAATGAATTCTGGTTCTCCCATTTACTAGCTATATGAACTCTTATTTAACTTCTCCTGGTATCAAACACCTATGTAATAAAAGCTCCTAAAAGCAGTTGGTACACTGTATCCTGCCCAAGCCTCTTAATTTCTTTAGAAATTTTTGAATAATCCCCAAATCCAAAGTCCACTGCATTGTTTCCCAGAGAAGATTCTACAGAATCTCAGGACACTTCTCAAAATGTCCTGTGGTCAAATACCTGCCTCTCTTGGGAGGGTCATAATTTCACATGAGCACAGCAAATGGCTGAGAAGTCCTGCAACAAATAAACCTACTTCCTTTTACCTAGACATCCTTTTATGGATGTAAACCTAGAAGTAACTCACTGAAGAACTTCTCCAGAACCACTGGATGGAGGGATACTCTGTAACTGATGAATAAAACATGCAGACCAGGTTTGAGAACTGCAAAGATGAGGTAAACAGATGAAACACTGATGGTGGAGGTACAAAAGCAGTAGGTAATGAACAGTCTCACAAGATCTCTAGAGAATGGCTTGGTCCAGCACCACCTTAAAGAGGCAGCGTAAACAATAACCACCCCAACTTCTGCTCCTCCTGTCCCAAAATGAGGCAAGCTTTTATGCTTCCCTCACCCACTAGAACAATAGGTAGAAGGCTCTGGGTTAAGCAGGTAACACCAGGTGCCATCATATTTCCATGTCATGGATCCAAGGTCCTTTCACACTTCTCGATGCACTCCATCATGCTCCACCCCAGCACTCACTCCCTTACACATGCAACCCAGCACTCACTCCCTTACACATGCTATCCTATTACCAGTGCTCACCAACCCACATCTTGCCTGACTGTAAGCCCCTCAATGCTGAGAAGTCTTCCACTCCTGCTCTCCCAACCTCATACTTATGTTCATAAGACTAATACAGCTAATGCTTATCAAGTATTTACTATATGTTAGCCCCATTCTTTTTTTTTTTTAAGATTTTATTTATTTATTTGATAGAGACAGTGAGAGAGAGCATGAGCGAGGAGAAGGTCAGAGAGAGAAGCAGACTCCCCACGGAGCCGGGAGCCCGATGCGGGACTCGATCCCGGGACTCCAGGATCATGACCTGAGCCGAAGGCAGTCGTCCAACCAACTGAGCCACCCAGGCGTCCCTGTTAGCCCCATTCTTAAGCATTTAATACACTAAAACTCATTTAATCCTCATAAGAACCCTATGTGATCAATATCACCATTTCCTTTCTTTTGCAGATGGGGAAATTGAGGCAGAGGCAAGTTAAACAATGTGCCCAAAGTTACATAAGTAGTAAGTGGCCAGAAAGAATGTCTCAAACCCAAGCTCCAGAGCTCAGACTTAAAACTACTCTCCCTGCTCACAGTTACTCAATTCTGTCAACTGTCTACTGGCTAAGGTCTAGTAATACCTCATTGTTCAAAGAAACATGTGAATCAATGATTGCAAAGCCTTCCCAAGAGGTCCACATTGAAGTCCAACCTGACAAGGTATGCCCACTAGACTTGACCAAACCCTGCCTTATGTCCCTGAGGCACAACCAGGGTGCTCCCTGACTATGGTAGCCTGTGGAAGCTGAACAACTAAGTTAAAAATATACTCACCAGAAAAGCTGAAAAATACCTAATCCATCCTACCCATATTCCTCTAAAGGAATAAGCCATTCCATACAAAATTATGTCCACAAAATATGCTATATAGTCCTAAGTAAAAAGCTCATTTTTCTCATGTTCAATTTGCCAAATGAGAACTGTAAAAGCCTCATCATCATTAGACTTTTAAATAACAGACAAGTATTGTCCAAATATTAAAGTTAGTTTCTTCTTGTCATTCTTTCATCTTTAAACAGAACCTAGGACCTCATGACAAAAACAAAAGTGTTGAATCTTCTATGTGCATTGTTTAGATCTCAAAAGAAAGAAAAAGAAGTACAGCATAAGTGTCAGCTCTCTAGTCAGAATTCTGAGGTTCAAAATCTGGCTCAGTCATTTACCAGCTGTGTGACCTTGGGCAAGTTACTGAACCTCTCTCAGTTTCCTCACCTATAAAATGAAAATATTTCAATTAATAGAGATCACAGTACTTCTCACCAGATTGTTATGGGCAGAAAATGAGATAAAGTACAGAAAGTACTCGGCAAAGTACCTGGCATAGAATAACCAGTCGATAAATGTTAGCTATTAATATTCTACATGCTTTTCTAAAATTTAAGAAATTTCTGTGTAGTTTCAAAAGAAAAAGAGCTTGATGAAAGAGGACGGGGAACAAAGATTAAGTAATCTTTATTATAAAGACAGCAACTCAATCAATTGCTGTGTGTGGAAAATTGGGCACATTACCAGAAACAAGAATTACCACAATGCCCATGAACTTTCTACACCCCATCCACAAACTCTGGCAATCTTCACCTTCTCTTTTGGGCCAAGGATCTGAATTCATATCTGTTATGAAAAGGTGGAGCTCCGTATCAAGGTAAGTGCAGAGATATAAAGTCCTAACGCCAAGGTGTGGAGGAAGCTCAAACTAGCAAACCCGCCTGCTGCCATCTCCAAATTTTACAAAATGTATACACAAAAGGTTGAAAATTGGGGGAAAGAAGGTCAAAAATTGAGTTTCAGTGACCGTTTGCCATCATATTACTGCACTGTAACGTAAAACCCTAGATACCAAGAAGTGGTAAAAAGTCGAATTTAGGGGTGCTTGGGTAGCTCAGTCCTTAAGCGTTTGCCTTTGGCTCAGGTCATGATCCCAGGTCCTGGGATCCTGCTGGACAGTAGGCTCCCTGCTCAGCGGGAAGTCTGCTCCTCCCTCTCCTATCTGCTGCTCTGCCTATTTGTGCTCTCTCTCTCCCATCAAATAAACAAATAATTCTTAAGAAAAAAAATACATTAAAAAAAGGTAGAATTGGGGTGCCTGGGTGGCTCAGTGGGTTAAAGCCTCTGCCTTCAGCTCAGGTCATGATCCCAGGGTCCTGGGATTGAGCCCCATATCGGGCTCTCTGCTCGGCGGGGAGCCTGCTTGCCTCTCTCTCTCTATCTGCCTCTCTGCCTACTTGTGATCTCTGTCAAATAAATAAATAAAATCTTAAAAAAAAAAAAAAGGTAGAATTTATGTGATTTAGGGCAAAGTTATGTTACATCAATATTCTTGTCTCACGTTATGCTATTAAACTAACCAGACTGAGAAGACCTAGGATAATTTGTGGACTTAAAGATTCCATACTCTTTTTTTTATAATTGGTATTTGTTAGCAACAAAAAGACTGACTATCCCACCTCCCCATTTCTGGCCAGAGTGAATAAATCTAAATTAGGACTATCCCAAAAGGGAAAGAGCTAGGCTCAGCTAGTCAGAAGAAAACTGCTTCAACTTGGGAACAATGAGAAAGACTAAGACTCTTGATGCTGTTACACAAGTGATGGTAAGATGACAACCTCAGAATTACTCTGTACTTCACAAACCTCAGGCACTAAGTGCATAAATCTCCTTAACATTCTCCAAACAACTCTCAAGGCATAAGTAAGACAGTCACATCTCAGTGATCCTTGGTAAGAAAGACCTAGGTCACAGCTCCAACTAACTGAGCAAGAAGAAGCCCTAACATATAGCACTGACAATGCTCAAGTCCAATAAAACTGGAAGTTCCATTCACTTTCAAGGAAGGGACTGTTTCCACTAGCTTATTTCCTGGGGAAAAAAAAAAAATCTGCCTTCCACAAAATACCCTGAAAACTAGATCCCCAGCTGACACCATCAGCTGTACATCAACTTGTTCTGGGCTGATCACAGAGGGCTTACTTCTATCCCCAAGACACTTAACTCACCACCTTCGTCCTCTGCGGGGGAAGAGGACAGTAAAAGTATTTTGGAAAAATGCCCAAGAAAGGAAAAAGCTGACCGGTTTCCTGAGGGTGTCTCCATCCCTCCGGGCTAGTATGTGGTGACTTCCTACCAAAGGCCAGCAGGGGAGTATAGCTCTCCAAACCAAGCCCGGCTCTCTAACACTACAGGAAATGTTTCAAGTCTAAAAAGCCACTTGTAGGATTATCGAATTCATTCTGGGAACCGCTGCCAAGTGATGCCCCCGCAGTGCCAACATCCCCCTCAGCTCTTTGTCCCCACGTTGCCCAGCCCTGCCCTTGTGCCTGGCCCGGGCGCTAGCCCCACCCTGGGGCCGAAGCAGTTCCCCTTCCCCTGGGCTGTCCTCCCAAGTCACACCCAGAGGCCTGGGTCAGCGGCGATTCCTTCCCCCCCCACACACACACCCGCTCCTGATGTGAACGACCCCAAAGCACCAGGCTACCCCCTGCCATGGTCACTCCGGCCCTCTGCCCACGTCCCTCGTGGAGGTCAGCTCTCGGAGAGGAGCCGGCTAGGCTGGGGAGTTCCGCGGCCCTCACCCCGCCCGGGGCCTCCCGTCCCGTCCGTCCTCACCGGGCGGAGGCTGGGCGGGCGACGGTGGCACAGACGGGCGCGGGCCGCTGCTGTTGATGATGTAGTGGGAGACGCGCGAGTTCTCGGAGACGCTGAGCACATAGTCCCCGGGGCTGGTGCTCGAGTCCCGCACCAGAAACACCCCGTGCCGCTGGCCCTGCAACAGCGCCACCGCCTCCTGCCGGCTCAAACGCCCCCAGTACCAGCTACTCCTCTCCTCCGAGTCAAAGTTGCCCGCCATGGCCGACTCCGCGCCTACACGCTGGGCCGCCGCCGCCACGCGCGCCCCTCCTGCCCCGGCGCCCGCCGCCCAGCGGACCGGCTCCGGTCTCAGCCTCACAGCAGTGTCCGAAATGGCGGCGGCGGCCGCGGGCCTTCCCCACCGGAAATGACGCTCACCGTGCCCCCGCGAGGATGCCGGGAAGGGGACCGCAACCCGCCATTGGGAGAAGGGCAAAGCGCTCACTGCGCACGCGTTCTCACGTGCGTCGCCACCTGGTAGGGATCGGAACTGCACCGGATGGAGAGGCGAAGTCTGAGGCAAGGGGATAGGGGCTTAGCCAGCAGTCGATCGGAGGTTTGTATTTGCGCTTTTAGCCACGCGGCCCGTCGCTGCACCAGGCTTCAAGTTCCCGGAAGGCCCAAGATTTCTGGGCAGCGACTCCGAGTACAGAAGATGGATGTGGCCCCAGGGCCTGGGCTTCTGGAGACATCGGTCTTTTTCTGGTGGTTCGTCCAGCTTCTCTATAGACTGGCTAAAGTTTTTTGTTTGCACTGATTCATTCAGTAAACAGTTGACACCACATTTGCCACGTGGGTGCAAAGGTGATCAAGGCTGGGCTCTGACATCACAGAATTTACAGACCAGTGGGAGGAACCAGGAAGCAATGACAAAGGAATGCTGACTGCTATGATAGGGACCCGACAAAGGGGCTCTAGGAACACAGAGCAGGGCCCCCAATCCAGTCAGTAAAGGGATTCGATATGGAGGTGGCTTTAACTCAATGTTGAAATGGCAAGTGGGGAAAGAGCATTCAAGACAAAAGGAGCCGAATGTGCCAAGCCAGGTAGAAGTATAGAGTTCTCTCCATAGAGTCTCTCAGGTCATTTGTCCAGATTCTTCTAAACCTTAGCTGTGGCTACACGTATCCTGGGCTCTCCCTGCTATCATGATCTCCGTCTCTATTCTATATCTACAGCTGTATTCCTGTGAACAGCTTGCTCACCGGTTCTCTGTAGTGCATTACACACATCTGCCAGTGTGGGCTTTCTAAATTACAACTCTAAGTCTGTTGCTACCCTGTGCACAACTTTTAACAGTCTCCAGATGTTAAAATTCCCAGTTTAGTTCACAGCATAAAATGGGGCCACAGTCTCCTCTTAGCTGCTCCTACATGAACTGTGTGTTTCTTCTTTATGGAAAACTTTTCCGGATCTCAGACTCAAATGTCTCCCCTTTTTGACCAACCATCACTTCCTCTCTGCAGCCACAGGACTGTGTCCATATTATTTCCATCACAGTTCCTACCCATTGTCCTATAATCTTTCACTTTACTGGTCTGCGTTCTACGATAGAGCTTCTCAAAGGCCAAGGATCCAGTGTAGGAGGCACTACATAAATCTTTTATGAGGATGACTAACATTTATTCAGGGAATACTACCTGCCAGGCATAGCACTAGTTGCTTTTATATGGATCATCTCATTGAATCCTCTTAACAACCTTATAGGTTGTATTTTACAGCTATCCCCATTTTACAGGTGAAGCTCAGAGAGGTTAAGTTATTGATCCAGAGTCACACAGCTGCTGAGTGGGGGGCTGGCATTCAAATCCTGGAAGGAACAGAATGCTGTGGTCACTGCGTTATATCCTCAGACTTCTGGAATAGGCATGGAGGGGGACAGGAGGTTGGAGGAGGATGGTAGAAATAGACATCAAGAGAAAATATATATCAGTCAGCCCTAGGTTTTGATCTTACATGAATAATATGCCTCTTACGGATCTACTTCACACACCCCTGGGCCTGCTCTGGGAAGGGAAGGGGAGCAAAGGCACCTTCCCCGCTGTGACTCATTGTGACCCTGGCTTAGTCACAGTGTGTTACCACAAGCCAGCAGCAGAAGCCACCCCAGTGTGAATTCTGGCCTTTTGGGTAATAGAAGGGACTGTTCTTCCCTTCTCCAGGTTGGAGGAGCTTTGAGGTAGGGCCTCACTCAGAGACTGCTTGTGGGTTCTGATAGAAAACGTACTTTAAAAGAAGAAAAGGGAAAGAAAAAGAGGAAAGAAGGAAAAGAAGGGAGGGAGGAAACGTCATAAATAAGCTGGATAATAAGAAGGAGATTGGCAAGGAGAGGAAATCTAGACCCAAGGGTTATTCAATGGTGCTGTTTCTTGGAGCATAGAGAGAACAACATGGTAGGAACAGGAGTGGCCTAGGGGCGAAGAGAAGACAAACCCGTCCTGCCCCTCCCTCCTTTGTCTTTTCTTCTCCCCTTCATACATTCAGGATTTGCAGCTATAATTGTGGCTTTTGACCCCTGATAAATTTGTGATCAACCCTACAAAGAATGTGACCTTCCTGGGGTGCCTGGATGACTCAGCTAGTTCAGAGTCTTTTTCTTTTTTTAAATTTTATTTATTTATTTATTTATTTATTTATTTATTTGACAGAGAGAGAGAGAGAGAACCAGAGAGCACAAGCAGGGGACTGACAGAGAGAGAGGAGGAAGCAGGCTCCCTGCTGAGTGGGGGGCCAAACGTGGGACTTGATTCCAGGGCCCTGAGATCATGACCCTACCTGAAGGCAGATGCTTAACTGACTGAGCCACCTGGGTGCCCCAAGCGTCTGACTCTTGATCTCAGCTCAGGTCTTGATGATCTCAGGGTTGTGAATTCAAGTCCTGAATTGGGCTCCACACTGGGAGTGGAGCCTACTTTTTTTTTTCTTTTTTTCTTTTTTAAACATTTTATTTATTTATTGTCACAGAGAGATATCACAAATAGGCAGAGAGGCAGGCAGAGAGGAGGGGAAGCAGGCTCCCTGCTGAGCAGAGAGCCCGATGCGGGCTCCCAGGACCCTGAGACCATGACCTGAGCCAAAGGCAGAGGCTTAACTCACTGAGTCATTCAGGCTCCCCCTACTTTCTTTTTTTTTTCTTTTTCTTTACTTTTTTTTTTTTTTTTTAAGATTTTACTTATGTATTTGACAGCGAGATGGGGAACACAGGCAGGGCGAGCAGGAGAGCCCAATGCAGGGCTCAATTATAGGACCCTGGGATCAAGACCTGAGCCGAAGGCAGATGCTTAATGACTGAGCCACCCAGGTACCCGACATAGAGCCTACTTTAAAACAAAACAAAACAAAACAAAAACTGTGCAGAGGCAGACACTAGGGGAAAGCTCTGGAGATATGTGAAACGACTCCGACTCCAAGAAGGGTCTTGGGGAGGAGAGCATGCTGGGAACCAAGGCAGGAGGCTGGACCTTCCCAGAAAAGTCAGCAAGATGTTCCCAGGGATGACATGCTATAGGACTGCTGAGAATGGGTTGTCTGCTTTGCTGTGAGGTATATGCCGCTCACTGCCTCATCCTTTAGGAACACTGTTCACACAGACACCCTTGCGGGAAGGCACCCAAGAGAAGGTGTCAGCCTCCTCACCTCTGTCCTCTCAGAGCTGAGAAAGTCAAGAGCATCTGAAGAAGGTTAAGATGCATGTGTGCCCCCACCTTCCCCAGCTCACCCCTCTCTGGCTCCGCTGATTATTCTTCCTTGTCCTCTGACAAGCCTCCACACTTTGCACTTGCCCTTCCCCCTGCGGGCTCCCCATGGTCACTCCCCCACCTACTTTATATCTCTGCCCCTGTGGCCCCCTCAGGGAAACCTTCCCTTGCCCATGCCTTTGGAACTGTAAACTGCACACCCACCTCTCCGCCTCCCCTTTCTCTGCTTTATTTTCCTCCCATCCCCTCTAGAACATAAGCTCCATAAAAGCAGGGATTTGGTGGGTTTTGTTCTTGCAATATCCCAAGTGCCTGGCAGAGAGCCCGGCACACGATAGACAGTGAGGAAATCCCAGTGGAATGAAGGAATGGAGAGTCTGGGGAGGGGTGGGGCCGGGATGCTCTCGTCCAGAGCCTGAATTAGTCTCCTGTGATTGGCAGGTATCTCCCCAGGGGGCCCTGGACTTCCTGCAAGATGTGAGCTGGGGGTGCAAACCATTCTCCATTACCTCTCAAAGGACAGGGGTCTGCAGATCCATGTGGCTTATGTCTGTGACGTCACTGGCAACACATTCTAATTGGCCAGAGAAAAGAGTGTTAGCCAGTCGTAGAGCTGGTAATTGCACTCAGCACAATGCTTATCTTATCTGTCGGCTTCTTGTAGCCACTGTTGCTACCCATAGAGAGGACAAATTATCGTGGTGCTTTCATTTTTCTGTAATTGGTTGCCTGGGGCAGGGGGGGTCGGGGGGGGAGTGTCAAATCTAGTTGTGTGCACAGGACTGCGTCAAGACCAAGAGAGTCACACATTCATCAGAAACTTCTGCCCCAGATGCTGAATCTAAGTGCCTCCGCAGGTATCTTGACCCCAAATTAAATTTCTTCTGAACTTTAACGCCTTCACGGAGGGGCACTTGAGTGGCTCTGTTGGTTGAGCAGCTGCCTTCAGGTCAGGTTATAATTTCAGGGTCCTGGGATTGAGTCCCCGCATCAGGTTCCCTGCTTAGTGGGGAGCCTGCTTCTTCCTCACCCTCTGCCTGCCCCTTTGCCTGCTTGTGCTCTGTCAAATAAATAAATAAAAATCTTTAAAAACTAAAATACAATAAAATAAAAATAAAGCCATCACTTGCCATTCCTTCTGCTCACAACGCCTCTCCCACTTGGGAAATCTCTTAGCCATCTGCCGAGGGGCTCCGTGGAGGCAGCCTGCAACACTCATTCCCTTTCTTCAGAAGGCAACACTGCTCATCTTTCAGGAAACCCTCGGCTCCCCACTCTTGGGCCACGAGGCAGGTGTGGTTCCTGCTCTTTCTGCCCTGGGGGTGGGGTCAGGGCTCAGGCACAGGACCTGGGCCTGGCAGGCACGTGTCAGAAGATGCTCTTCTCCCTAACTACAATGACTGGGTCAGAGGAGAGCACTTCCTTCAAGCTGGTCCACTGTGAGTTGGTGCTGAGACTTTCAGGTGACTAGGAAAGATGCTTTTACTCTGCCTCCTACACCAACGCAGCAGAATGAACGGCCACAGCTGCTGGTGGCCGTGGCTGCCTTGCCACGAGCAGAGAGCTTGCCTGACAGGGGAGCCCTCCGAGCAAGGCTGAGCCAAGAGATAGCTCCGGACACGTTTCCTGACAGTGTCATTCGTGTGCCTAGAAGCA